GCACCTAGCCCTATATCAAACTTAGAAAAAGTAAAACATCTCTAGAATGAAATAACATTTCATGCACGCATTTGAATAAATGATCCCAATGACAAGTTTGAAAATAATGAGTTTGTTCCTAAGGCCGGAGGGCGGTCCTTTCAATTAAATGTTATTTTCAATTAGTTTGAAAAGCCATTTCCAGTTATAGTCTGACGTAAATGAATTGATGAAAAGAAATCCTAAATTAAAAAAAGCCACCACACTGTTCCGACTTTCAAGTACCACAATTTGATCCAAAAAACAAAGGGAAAATAAAACAGAAAATAGAGTCGTTAGACTTTCCTCTCTAAACACCCACTAATTAGTGGGCGTGTCAGGTGTATATGTTTAAAATCGTCTGAACTGGACTCAATTTGTATAATGGAAAATATAGTAAATTGTTAAGAAAAAAATGTAAATATGTCAAATGATAAATTTAAAACTGTTTTCACTGACGGTAAATGAATAAATTTAAGCCGAATTTGCCTAAGAAGTAAAAAAGGCAGGCTGTCCGCTTAACTACACAACAGCCCACGCAAACAAAAAACCTTTGAGAACCGTGATGCAAGGGCGGTGATCGACTTAATAACTTTTCACTTATTCTACATTTCGTTTCGCAAACCGATAGAAATTGCCAGCTGTTGCTGTTATAGAATAGCTGTGAGTATGTCGATGCAAACAGTAAACGGTGAGTTTTTGACCGGTCGGAACGCGATTTGTAACATCCGTAATTCTGCGCGTCGGAGTGAACTGAATTATTAATTAACCATGGGATTAGATTACCATCTGCGCCTTTTAAGTTGAACTTAGTCAAACAGATAAACGATTCAAAATTTACAGCTGTGTTCCTTCAGCACTTCTTGATCCTTCTACATCATTTATGATAAGATTGTGGCAGTAGACTTCGAAAGGTCGTTACACAAGGAAGTCATTCCTTCGTAGCCAGAAATCGAGGACAATTTGAGCCCGATAACTATTGTCAGCGGTACATGTATATCATATTACTAGTTATAGTTCTCACTAGAGCTGCCCCCGCCCTACAGTACCATTTTCTTTCTTTTTTTTTGAGTTGGGCTTGTTGTTTACAGTTGTGTAGTTATGACCATTTGCGGGAAAAACGTTGATACCTTGCGGCCGTGCAAGCGATCAAATCGAGAATTTTTTTGGTTACGATCAACCGAAAACACCTACATTCTCTCTTCTCCAGTCTTCCTCTATACTAGGACAAATCTCGTGTCAAAGACGCCGATCCTAAAAGTCCTCGCGCGCGTGTCTTTTTACTGGCAGCCCATGACCATTTGCGGGAAAAACGTTGATACCTTGCGGCCGTGCAAGCGATCAAATCGAGATTTTTTCTGGTTATGATCTACCGAAAATACTCACATTCCCTCTTCTCCAGTCTTCCTCTATATTACGCGGGGAGTCCTAAGGTGCCTCCTCGGGTTTTTGGCCCTCTGGGGCCAAAAACCCTGCGGGGGCAATAATAGACTATCAGGAGAATTTCATACGGCACGCAAGTTTAGAGCGGAGTCACCTGAATTAATGCGTCTCTCTAGATTTTATACTTCAGAACAAAAATGAGTATGAACTCTGAGGTCTGACAAAATAAAGGAACTAAGCTATAGAAAACTCAGAGTTCAAGATGCGACTTTATTGCGGATTAAGCTGCGTTTCGTCTATTTTGCTGTAGAGGGTGCTCCAAAATGTTTACAATTTAGGCTGTGATCAACCCCAACCAAAAATGTTTACACTCACGTTATGAATGCAAGGATTGCATTGTTTTCATCCGTTGTTAATGGCCAGGTTTTCTGTGTCTATGCAGCACATTATGGTCAATGCGTTGCGTATTTTTAGTCGAGTAGGTAGTGTATTCGGATATGGTCAAGAAAGTGGGCAAATACTTCATCGCTTTTCTCATTTATGGCATAAAAACAGCACATATTATTTCAGAAGGAAAAACGCCTTGGTCATTATTTTATAATATTCCAAATTAGTAGCAGTTGCTGTTTAACTTCATAAAAGCTAATTTTCAAAGAAAGGAAATAAACAGAATCAAGCGATATCCTTTCGAAAAGTTGCGCACCAAGGTCTCGATTTTAGCTGTGGCTCATAATTTATTGTCACATCCAATGCAAATTTTCAGCGTGAGCTGAATTAATAATGAAATGTTATTGCTATTTAAATATTGACTATTGTATTAGGAAAAAAATGGAAAGAAAGCCGAAAGACTGAAGTATTACCGGCGGTTGGAAGCTTCAGGAACTTTCTTGATTATTTTGCAGTTTTCTTCCGTTTGTTCTTATTAAACGTAGGTAGTACATGTTCATTGAACTTGAGATAGTAAGACAGTGCATACTTCAACTTTTGCTTTTATCTTTCTTTGTGTTAGCACGGATTCACTCGAATGTAATATTTATCATTTCATTAGCCATTTAAGCCGTATAAATTTCCTCAAAATGACGTTGGCTATCAACAGATACGCTGTTTGTGGCAGCTGCAGGTAGTGGTAATTCGAGTTAAACCAGCAACTCAACCTCTAATGGCAAATGAATAGTTATTGAGGATTGCTGATTACTGCATATTTCCTTTTAGCACAACCTGCATGTCATAGTGTTCATTGTAACTCGCAGCTAATTATTATTCTTGTCTATCTACATGGCAGAAAAATTGACGCTCAGCTGACGTGATACTCACCCTTGCCCAGGTGTTTCCGGTTAAAATTTTAATTAACATCTTTTTTCATTGGCACACGAAATCGGCTTAACGCAGAACAAGGTTTTTTCGTTTTTTGTTTTTAATCTTCGTGATCTTAATTAGTTTGACGATTTTTACAGTCCTTAATTACGAATGTCGAAGTAAAATCATTCTTGCGATTATAAAGTCTTTTTACACGTCTTTAAAGTTAATAAAGTTTTCCAATTTTGCGGTCTTTGTTTGGTACACAGGTTTGGCTCAAAATTCTCTTTTATCAAAAGATGCAAAAATGCCCACTCTTCCATCAAATATTTATTACTTCGATAGTCTCGCCTGACATGAGATACTAAAAGTGTCTACCTTGCGCCATTAGAATTATCCAAAGCGCCAGAGAGACCGCGGCTGTTTTCAGCATCAGTTATCTTCTGAGAGAGATGTGCAAAACCAGTTGAAACGAGAAAATTAGTTTGTACGCACGATTCCACGCAAGAAGGAAGTTTACTTGCCAATACTCCAAGAAATTCTGGGGCACTTTCAAAATGAGCAAAATATCAAAGGGATGATTTTGCTTCGAGCCTTTCAAAATAAAGAAATTAAGTTGCAAAAAATAATGTTTTTGGAAATCTTGAAGTAAATTACTGGCATGGACTTTTTTATCAGCTACCTGAGCATTTCCATGTCGGGTACATGCAGCAGTAGGCGTCCTAATTTCTGACTTAGAGTGAAGCAAAAGATTTCATATGCAAAATTATTTTCTCAAGTAGTAAGCATCACATTCACGAAAATTTCAGATAAATTCAATCATGCGGTGTCGTTTTCACATTCAGACGTTGTATTATTTCAAATACGGTTTGGAAATGAAACACAGTTAATCGCCAAGGGAACAAACAGAAGCTAGGTAGTAAGAAAAGAAAAGCTTGATGACTCACCACGGTAAATCGCTTGCTTAGGAAATTACAGATCGTATTGCGCTTCTACGTCAATATTCTTGGATCATCACCACTTTCTATAGGATCACCCGGCAACTGAGTTTCTTGTGATATCGACTTCTGCTTCCAAATATCCAAAATTACAGCCTAGCGCTACCGATCGATGACAGCGAAAAAAAGTTACTGTATTTCTGAGTATTTGATGCGATATTACTCGCATCTTGACGTGAATGGCTCGTACATAATTCGTTGCTTGGTAAATGTCTTGAAGAAGTTCGCTTGCATTGGCTTGTCAAGGCCAACACAGCATGATTGCGTAAAACTGGCAGCTGCAAAGCCGGTTTTGACATTTTTAAACAAAGATAAATTAAATAAATTTTCAACATATTAATACTTTGTGTACCTACTGATCATGTGGAAAACGGAAAAATCCTTGACTAGAAGCGCAGCGAGGTGCCTGCGAGTGGTAAATATCGTCTATCTAGCGCCGCATCACTCATGCAGTCAATAGTATGTATGTCCTTGCGGCACACTGTTTATTGTGAACGCTCCTAACGCAAATAATATTTCTATACCACCCTTTGCACTCAATTAAACTCTTGCTATTTGGGCTTTTGCGATACTTTATTGGCGGTATTGAAGTTGTGCGTGTGTGAGAGATGACGAAAACGACATGTGCAAAATAAAGATAATAGAAAATTAATACAGTTTCAATAAAAGCCTCTTTTTGTATGGGGAATTACTATGGAAATTACTGTATGTATGTAAAGTATAGGACATAATATTTATTGAATAGATAATAATTCCCTCATGTACATGACGTACTTACGCCTTTAGGCCTCTTACCGCTGTCTGTTAAGCATGCCTGCTTGCAGGCTCTCGTGGTTAGGTTTCGCCCTACGACACAAACTCCTACTACATCATAAAGCCGCTTATGGAAAAAGTTACTCAAACTTCTGTTACAGTAAGGTATGGAATTTTGTGTTTTTATGGCTGTTTATTATATTGAATGCCGACAAGTACAGTTGATACACAGGTTATACGTTTCTATAGAAATTGTTGTGCTGCGTTTACGGGCTTAAGACTTCTTTCTTATAATTTACAAGTTTACGACAGTAGGTAAACCGCTGACATAATTGCTGAAAAGCTGCATGATGTTTTGAGCGAAGTGCTTTACATTAAACGTAGGCTTTTTAAAATTCGCTACGGGCCAGATTTATAACGTCTTTTTTACACCCATTTTGAAACCACTGGTGGTCCCTGTTATCTGATTGGCTCTGATTGGTGCGATTTATTCAAAAATCGTACCTATTTTTGCTTTAAATCGCATCTTTTCCCCAGCCAATGAGGAGGCTACACTAAAAACAAAACTACCGATCAGATTTTAAGGTTTAAAGGAACCAATCAAATTGCAGCAAAATGAAAGGCAAAGAGTATCATGTGGCAAATTTTGCAACTTTTGTTTCCAAAACTCTTATTTTTTTCCCCCCAAAAATGGATGAATCTAATTTCAAACCGGCTCAGTACTGTATCAATAAAATATTTGAAATGACCGAGTCTTGTATTTGGGCGATTTCAAAATGGATGTAATACAGTGGTTATTAAACCTCGTGTCATGCAATTTTGGTCTGAAATCATACTTGTGATTTCCGCCCAAATTGTACTTCACTCAGTTCAATTACTATTATTTATCAATTAATAGTTGATAGTTAAAGATGTGTTTCTGTGATTAGATACTCTGAGTAATACAAGGATAAAAGGCAGTTGGGATATGGTTTAAAATAAACTGCTTTCTAACTGCAGTCATCAGATTGACAGTTTACATACGAGGAACATAGCAATCAAGCGTCTGCGCATATGCAAACGTTTTAGTGACTGTGGGGCGTTTTTTCAGGCTGTCAGAACCATGTTGTTTCACACGAGTTACAAATAATCATTCAAGCCAGCAATTCACGGTGTTTTAGGAGCGCAGAACATTGGTAAGGCTTAAAACAGAGCCCTAAATCGACAGAATGACTTGAAAAAGCTTTGCGTACTCTGACTTCTTTAACTAAACAACTTGCTGAATTTCAAAACTTGTTGAACGCATAAACTGCATCCTCTTGTCGACTTTTTCATACAGCTCTTGGAACTTTTGCTCGAAAGCTTTGGCAACCAGCGCTCGTTTAGTCTTGAAAGTTGGCGTCAGAAATCCGTTTTCGACGGAAAACAATTCGTTGTGTAAGTGGATTTCTTTAACCTGCGGTTAAGACAACTGAGTTAGCTTAACAAAACAAGAAACTCATTTTTGTTAACAGTTCAACAGATAGCGCAAAACTATTTTCATTTACACCAAACTGAGATCTTTAACGTTTTTTGACCGTCTGAAAGCAGCGAATCTCACTTCCAGTGATTTCCAAAAACAATGAGGCAAATTAAGGGTCTACTCGATAATAATCTGCTAAGCTATTTACCTGTTCAAAGGAGCTCAACTTGCCCTCCTTGCCTTTCTTAGTCATGTCCTCCATAACTGCTTTTTTTACCTCCTGAAAATGGAAGATGAGAGTGAAAAGAGAGGAAACTCGTTCCAAGGCAAGAGGACATTGTTTCTTCTTATCCTTAAATGAGATGATTTAGTATATAAAGACAGACGTTTTATCTCCTACATAAAGAGGGGCAATGTTATGGTAATGCATCTTTCCCAAAGCAAAACGCATTAAGAAACTCAGGTCTCGAGCCAAACCCCTCATCTGAAAGACAATCTGGTAGGAGTCAGAGAAAGTATACAGGCGAAGGAGAGGAGATACGGTTAGGTAGCTGAACAAATGAAGACACACACGTACAGAGATTGTGACAGACAAAAACAGATACACTGACTAGGTTGTAACAAAGTTGAAGTTAGATTTCATAGCTTTCCTACTTCGTTCTCACACAACTCTGCAAAGTCTCCATGGATATTTTTAGATCGTGCCCAAGGTTCCAACACCTCCTGATCTGGAACGATGATTGCCACTACAAATGACTGAAAACAATACATACAATATCACTTGTAATGTTACTACGATGATGACTGACGATGGGGAGCATTTAGATAGCTAACGCCTTTTGTTTGAGATGTAAAGGAAGCTTGCGCCCTTGTCAATCTATCACGTGATAGAAATGTCGAGCTCATAATTCAACCTTTAAATAGAAAGCGAGTAGCACAGCCAATTAGATTGCAGCATATGTGAAAGAGCGCTGGTAGATTTACTCCTCACTGTGGATTAAGAAATCACCCTTCGGATAAGATTCCATTACACACCCATGCCATCTGATTCTAAACTCGTTTTCAATTATCATGCCTCCTTACCTATCACAATAATAAAAAAAAGACTTATAATTATCTCCTGCGTTTACTGACCCGTAAGCTATCTCCGTGTACAAACGCTTGGGCTACTAAAGTACTGCGCAGGTAAATATTTTCGATTTTCTCCGGAGCAACGTATTCACCCTGAAAAAATAAAGCACAACACTAATTACTGCTTAGTTAGGTTACGTTAATGTAGATTCAAACTTTATTTTCCTTCATTTTTGTAACAGCAATGTATAATTCTGAGCTTTGAAGCATATTAAAATACAATTTGAAGTTCGCAATGAAATCTAATCACTCTATTTGCATGAGAAAAGCCGGGAAAATAATCTTTGGGAAAGTAAGGTTTAGTGGAAACTGGAAGAAAGTTGAAGGCAAGAAAAATGGAAAAGTATTGTGGTTATCTTTTCATAGACGAGCTGCTGGGCTCTTAACACTTTCACGGAAATCGAACGATAATTTCGTTCCACAATCACAGAATCACGTTTACCTGGGCAAGCTTAAAGATATGCTTGACACGATCAAATATCTTCAAGGTTCCATTCTGTAATAGAAAAAGGTAAAATTAAAATTTTTCCTTTTTCAGGAAGTAACAAGCATTGACGAAGATTTACTGAGAGCATTTTGGAACATGATTTGTTGATATTTCCCTCACTGTAGAACCAATGAGTTTGCTCGAGGCCTCTTCTATAAATTTTGCAACCGCACTCTTACCGGAAGCCATTCTCCGATATCTCCGGTGTGGAGCCACTGATCCTTGTCAATTGTCTCGGCAGTTTTCTCCGGAGCTTTCAAGTAGCCTTGGAAGACCGTCGGTCCCTTTATACAGATCTAAAAATGTCGAAGACAGCAGAGTTAATATAATTTTTTCGATGTGCACCGTGGCTTATATGGTTACCAGTCGTTTCGAATTTGCACCCACGGTCGTTTCGTACCCAACTAGGTAGCTCCGTACCCAGTCAGTTGAGTCGTTTCATACCCAGCTGGGTCGTTTCGTAAGCTTATAAAGTATGTTTTCCATGTTAAAAATTGGAGAAAGAATATCACACTTACAAGAACTGTTATTGGTAAACAAAGGTCACAAGTATAAACAATAGACTTTTCTGTTTAAAGTATTACACTTACATTGGGCAATAGTTACGAGGATTTAGTTAAGAAGGTCACAAGTATACGCAACAGACCATTGTTTGTATCTTAGTCGTTCGAGTTGATATCATTATTCTCCTTTGAGGGTTTTTTTTGTCCCTTTCGATTCAGCAGTAAACGTAAGGTATGTGTAAGGGGATCAAAAACGAGCAAAAGACAAAGTAAAAACCAAAATAAAGGAATGAACAGAAACGAAAAGAATTATTTGAAATTTAGGGCTGATCATGATGTTTCTCTCAAAACCGTTTCAAAAATATGGCTCATCATAATAAAATAATTATAATGTTAATCTAAAAATTAAAAGAATAGATAGATTAGTATACCTCTCCTTTACCGTCTTTTGCGTAACACTCCTTTTCTGGGACGTCTACCAACTTGATGAGATTACAGGGAAGAGGTGCTCCCACGTGACCTACAGACATGGTAATCATGTGACAAAAAAGGATAACTTGGGTTCTGGTGTTGATCTGGAGAGGAACCTCACCAGATCCTCGATTGCGCCTCACGCCTCACTGATCGATGCTGATTTGCGGACGCAATAATAGACAATGAACTAAATTCTTTTAGTTTGTGAAATTCGTTTTCAGGATAAAGGTTCACAGAGTTTGAGAATAACTAAATGTAAACTATGAAAATTGAATTCGTCTTCGGAATGATTCGACAATACTTCCTTTGTCTTCAGAAAATGACTTTTGACTAGTTATAAGTTTGATAAACATTTGAACGTTCTCTTTGCCTTACCAACAGACGTGTCCCTCGGGAAAGTAATAGTTGCTGCTGCAGTACTTTCAGTTTGTCCATAGCCTTCTACGACCTTGAAATAGAAGATAAAAGAACAACTTCATGAGCACTTCATTCATGCAATTGCTGACTGGCGAGAAAAAGGATCTAACTGACACAGAATGAAGAAGTTTAAATTGCGCAATGATGTAAATACAAACTGTACGTTGTAACAAGAGACAATAATTTGTCCCTTTCGTCTCTCGCAATCCCGCTTCGAGACGAGACGAGACGAGACAGGACGGCGCCGAAGTCGACAATTAATCGTTGTTGACTTACACAACAAACTCCCATAGTGCATCTTAGGAACATCATTACTTTAGCCGACAGGGGAGCAGCTCCAGTAACAATCAGCCGAACATTTCCACCAAGGGCCATCTGTTGGAACACAATCAAACACTTGCTAATCAGATCGTGAAGAATTTTCAACCTAGCAAATGCTAGGTGACCGTCTACCAACAGCTAACGTATGAATATTCATAGTTATGGAAGTAATTATCAACATTAAACATTTGAACTACGAAAGCCGAAAAGGGACAATCCAAAATTATTTTGCAAATCCGGAAAACCATGTAGAATCGATATCTTTCAGACAAATCGCTTTTGAAAAGTTTGTCAGATCGAAAAAACAATTTCAAATCCTGGCTTAATTCATAGATCCACAAATAACTTTATAGAAATCGAAAATAGTTTACAATCCAGGAATCTTTCCAAAATCCAGAAAATTTTCGTAAATCGAGAAAAATATTTTGTCACTTGACACTTGCGCCAGTAGTCAACACTTTGTCAAGATACAGCACATTGTGGCGCACTAGGTTGCACTAGGTCGACTTGGAGTCAAAACGCCAACGGACTAAACAGTACCAAGTGTATTGAAATGTTATGTCACAAAAGTGGAAAAGGATTAATGAGCAATGAGCTATTCTGCCGTCGATGTATTGTTCAGTTTTTAGAAAAATACCATGGTGTTTCTATGAAACTGAGGACGAGAAGAGAGAAGAGAAGGCTGCGTGAGTATGGGTTGAGAAGAAGAAATGAAGTCCTTTCGAAGCGCGAAGTTCGGGAGATAATTAAACGTGAAATCGAAGGCCCTTCATCACTTCCTTTTCTAAAAACTGAACAATTGTATCATAACGGAATCCTCTTTCAAAGTAGTGTTCAATGGCAGATCTCTCATCTGACGAACTGTGCAACAAATTTTTCTGTTCGAGTCTCTTTAAAGTTCCACATCGACGGCAGAAAAAAAAATATTTAGATATAGCCTGCTCTCAAGCTATATCTATACCTGCTACCCGTTCGACCATTGCCCCTCCACAATAATTGAAAGAGCTCTAAGAGTGATTTGACTGACCTTTATTCTCTTGAACACAGTGCGATCCCAAACTGTATCACCTCTGACTCTTCCCCTTCAGTGAAAAAAATAAAATGTGAAAAAAAAGGGTGGAAAGAAATGCCTACTGATAACAGGTTTCATAACCCTATCAAAGAAATGTATAGAAATAAATCCCGAATTTAAGAAGTGTGACCTCTGTAAACTGCAAAGTTCTCTTATAGTTCCAAACTATAATGACTGGAAAAAGTCTTGGAACGCTTTGATACTGCTTGGATTTTTTTTCTGATTTATCTTCCCCCCTCTCCCTCATTTCAATGTTGCCTGGTTCTAACAAATAGTCTCAAATTTCTCACAAAATAAGACAAAATTGTTTGGTGGACTTTCAAGTGACGTGTCAGGGATCATTTACAAGATTTCTATTTATCGTGTTATGCGGAGAGTTATCAACCACTTATCTCGTACCCAGATCCTACCGTGTAACTGGAACTGAAATGAAAGGACCTTGCAACCGCTTGGGTGTGGAAGGTATGGGTACGAGAGAAGTCGACTACTTGCCAAGGGGAGGCGTGCCAACTACTTTTGCTCTCGCTGTCACGGTCTTATAATGTCGAAAAAAACTTTTTTTTAATTCTAACCGACGGAACAAACTGTACATGCGTTCTCTTTGCTAATCAGTAAAAGCTTTACTGTTGACTGCGACGGAATTTGCTCTCTCGCAAAGACGGTAAATTGCGAAGTACTTGCATCAAGCAATACTAACTTTTTTAAACCGGCCTCTTTAGATGCAAGTGCTTTGTTAAAAAGCCAGCCTTTGAGTTTGCTCTGGGAAACTTGTGCCATCACCTTTAAGGTAAAAAAAATAATTATGGAATCTTTACCATAAAAAAATAGATGTCTCTTCGCCGCTGGCGTCAAGTTTGCGACTCAGTGCAAGAAACAAATTGCAGTTTTTCACGGCGATTTGAAAATAGATTCATTTGGCTGTCGTATACACTCGAATTCATATTGTCCAACAGTTACAGCCATACAGGTTGCTAATAAATCCTATGACTAATTGCAAGCGTGAGAACAGACAGACTCTGCAGATGGAAATAACCACATTGCAAGGGAATAAAACCTACAGGGATGGGGCTTTTGAACTGCGGGCTCACGGGTTGCGTGAGCATAGGAACTAAAGCAACTAAAGAAACGCACGTGTCCAGAATCAGAAAAGAGAAAGTGCACGTGCAAATGCAAACATGTGGAAACAAACTGCCTGCTGGTGTTTACAAATTCAAGAGGGAAATTGCGCACGCAGAAGTCTGTCGGGAAATATGAGCGAATGGGTACGGATATCCGAGAGAGAACAAGCGCCTGCAACCTCGAACATGCGAGAACCAAGGTGCGTATGTTAGCACAAAAAGTTGAGAGGAAATGCGCGCATTCCAGTAAATACATCCGCCGAGGAAGGTACACAAAATAAAACGTACACGCTCTAGTATAGTTACCTTGTCATAAACTCTAGTGAGCAGTCTTGGTACAGAGGGGAAAATCGTTGGCCTGAAAAGAAAATGTCTTTTGTTTTAAACCTAAATTAAATGATGGCTATATTGAAAATGCTGTGCAAAGCATGGCCGAGTTAATGAAGTAAATGCGTATTAGAACTTCACACGTGTAGTGTGCCAAAAGGACGAGACACTTTCGTTCCAGACTCCCCACCCCACCCAGGCAAAGTTTAAATTCCCCACCCCCGGGGCACCTACAATGGTCAAATGCCCGTGGGTTGCCCGGGGAGGGGGTTTTTGAAGCTTCAAATTGCTTGGCGCATAATCTGATGGTGGCTCTTAAGCCCGCTCAAGGCGGAATACCCAATTTCACTCCCAAGCCTAGCTTTCAAGGTGTGGACTGGTGAATTTTTGCAGGAAAGTATTCCCGAAACATTTTTATTGAGGTCAAGTCTCGGGTTGAAATCTTGACCTTCCGCATGGCATCCGGCGCATGAACTAGGCAGATAGTGGTAATAAAGTCCCTCTCACTGATAAGAGATAAACCGAAAGAACACAAACTTACTTTAGTTCTTGAATATCATCCAGCAGAAGTTTTACGTCACCCCTAAAGAAACCAATTTTCACTCCATTTAAAAAGCACATTGCCTGCAAGAGATAAAGATGTTGATTTAAAAAGGATGTCAAGCTATCAGGATAAAATCAACTTGTATTATACAATCAGACAAAACGATTGAGACCAATAATAAAAACTAGCAGGGCCATTCCGTGGAGCTCAACTCTTATTCCATGCAAAAACTTTATCTCAACTTTTGGGAGAAAAAACCTCCTATTTCCTGCTGAACAGGTGAAAATGACTTACGAGCCAAGGGAGTCATTGTATGGAAGCTCCACTGCTTGCATTTGGAGCTCCACTGCCTCGTTCATTAAGCGATGAAAGATCCGTTAGTCAAGCACGCCATATGTAGAGTTTGAGATGTGAAAATTTTAAGCGTCAGTAGTGTTCGCATGTCAAAAATCAGTGCTCCATAGTTAACTGGTTCCCAGTGTAACCATAAAGCATATTTCTTGACACTTTGCTTGCTTGTCACTAAAACGTAATATAAAAAGGCACTTTTGATAGCCCTTGTTTGCGCAAGCGTACCTGAGCCAGTCGCTCATACACGTGAGCCAGTGGAAGATAGGAGATCATACAGTCTCCTTCTATCATCTGGAGACCAGATTCCTGTTCAAAAATAAAATCAAAGAGTTTTGTCCTTAAGGTTCGAGCTGTAGACGTTGACTGTGACATATATTTTTCTGACTCCGGTTTTTGAAGGATAGATAACGCTATCCAGTGGATAAATCTCTTTCCATTGGATAACGCAGTACGTTTTGTTCACACTTATCTGCTGGATAGCGATTTATTCGGTGGATAGTACTATCCGCCCTCGGGCAACTGGGCCCAGGAGAATTAAGCCCCAGAAACTTTGCGGAAAACCCCAGAGAAAAATAAAAAAATTTTCATAGTCTGTAAAAAGGAATCAAAAATAGTTAAGACAAGACATGATGTTTGATTGCGTTATTACATCTGATCGAATCCTTTGGTACGCTTCGAGGGCATACAAGGTAACTTTATTGGAGCCATGCTTCGTATTTTAGATAACGTGGAAAGTGTGATGTTTTCGGCCTTTTTTAACGGAAGAGTTGAAATCAGGTTACCGGAAATGAGAACTAAGAGAACCATGTGAAACTAGCCAAGAACGTATTTGCACCCTCCCACCCCCTCTCTCACCTCCCCACCCTTCACCCCTTCTTCTCCTCTCTTCAACGCTGAATCTATTATGAAAGGTAACTTCAATTTTGCTGACACAAACCTCATAATGGACTTGAATTCCTGCGACCCCAGCATTTACATTTCCATGACTTAACATGGCACCCTTCGGCGTACCTGTTTATCAAAGAACAAAAGAAAAAGGGACAAAAACGGTGGAAATACGAAACATAGAAGCAAGTACTCATAAAGTCACGAAAAACACACACATACCCGTTGTTCCACTTGTATAGCAGACAGTCATGGTGTCCTCAGGTCTCCCAGGCTGAAAGAGTGAAAGAACCATATCGCAATTCGTTTTTGCTATAATATTGTTTGTTGGTGAATTTGAGCAACTTCATATAAACATAACAACTTTCGAACAAGCTCTTTCTTGCGCTAAAGAAAAAGCTTCAACAACACCAGACACACTTGCAAGAACCTATCAAGTCGAGTACACTAGACTAGGTGATGTGACGATTCGAACGCTTTTTAATATCAGTCTCTTCTGAAAAAATTTATTCTACACGTCTCTTCCTTGTCATGCGACTCTGGAGGGTGACCCTCCAATCCAACCAGGCACTTCTCGACACTATGCTAGTTTCTACGTCAGCACTTCTTTTCATACCATATCCATGCCTCTTCTTTGGCATAAAAATTTAATATGATGACGTATTTACATATCAAGTAAATGGGCAAAAAAACGACTGCCTAATATGCATTTAAATTCTGGTGGTTTTGCTTATTAAACTTTTACCTCAGTTCTTACCTTTCTCTCTTGAGGATTGTTAGAACCCATTTGCTGAAAAAGGAAAAATATGAAAACATGATTTTAAAGAATTTCGATTGAAGAACATCTGAACCAACCACGACACACAAGTTGTCAGCCGTTGTCCGACTGATCACCGCTGGGCCTAAGCGCGTCAGTGTTTTGGAGTGATAATAAAGTACTATTTCCACCCTAGCGTTACGAGCCAATACAAAATCTTAAAATGAATGGATTTTAGTAACAGTGCACTCACAAAGTGAGTGGAAGTCAAATTCAGGATTTTTCTGTTTTCAGGGTTTGTGGAAAAAAAGAAAATCGGAGAAAGCGGGGCTTTAGGCTCGTGACACATTTGGCGATTTTATCAGCCGATCGCAGTGAATTTGGTCGCGGGCGAAAATCACCGATATCTGATATGCCAGACATCAGTGATTTCATTCGCTGATCGCGGCGACCGCGATCGGTGTTAATTGAAATCGCTGCACTAGGCACATCAAGCGACTTTCC